GACACACACACACACACGCACAAACAAACACTCACATGCACGCACACATACGCGCGCGCGCACACATACGCGCGCGCGCACACATACGCGCGCGCGCACACATACGCGCGCGCACACATACGCGCGCGCACACACATATCGGATGACTTTCTCAATCAGGTCCATCGGTTCCACAAACAAGACAGGTCGCCCCCGCTCACACAAACATGAGAGAGTGCTTGACGAACAGACTCATCCAGAAATGGACACTATGACGTCATCGGTGATGAGTTATCAGTTCCGAGATGTAGAACCATCGCCCTCACCCTACACAAGCCTCCGGGATACAAACAGACAATCGCGCACAGAAGTTTCCTTTTTTTCAATCAGTTGATCTGTTCTAAGATCTGCTTCAATAAACGAGGTTAGTAACGGATGGCTCTAATCAATATTCTCCTCACTGTGTGGTCTTGGTTCTCACACCAACCACTCCCGGAAAGAAGGAGCACTTTAACAAATAGCGAGAGTTTTGATTAGAACACGCTCTCATCGGGGGCTACAATTGGAAGAAAGAACAGGGAAAGCATCTCTCTCTACTTGCCACAGAAGTGGTGCTGATCTCTCTACCAATCTCGTAAAGTAAACCGAACAAAAAGTTTTGCTCGAACAATCACAAACATAGTAATAAACTGTTAAATGAAATAAGGGAAGAGGGAAGAAAAAGAAAACGAAGCTGGGAAGAAATGGGAAGAGAGGGAAAGGAATAGAGAAAAGAGGACACCGTCCATTCCCTGGGAGAATCCGTCTTGGCTACGCCATGTAGGGAAAGGGTACCGGAACTAAGGGCAGGGTACTCTGACATTCTCGCCTTTTAGCAAGATTCGAAAATCGGGAATTTGAAATACAAAGCAAAAACATCATATCTGCAAAAATAAAATTGAGACTGCATTCTTTTTAGACTATAGTTAATAATGGTCTTAGTTAGACATAATATTATTTTCTTTCCTTTTAATTTATTCAAATTTCCCTTACATCTAGTGGGCTGGATGGTGAATTACACACATTGATATTTAATGATCATTACATCTTAAGCACTCAAGCTCTAGTCGATTTCTCAAAACAGTTTTTCCCCCTCAGATGTACGTGTCTTGCTCTATGCTCACGAGATGTCCTGAGAGTATGAGTACGGTAATGTCATTGCCAGAAACTTTTAGCCCGGCGTCTAACTGGGTCAGAAAACTGAGATTGACGGGGTCAGCCATCAGGGCACGACCGGACCACAGAGCCCCGGCCCACAGAGACCCGAGAGTATAGACAGGGAGCGGGGAGCAGGGGGTAGGGGGTAGGGGGTAGGGAGATAGCGAGCAGGTGGTTGGGAGCAGGGAGCGGGGAGAGAGAGGGATTGGGAGCCCGGAGCTGAGAGTAGGGAAATGGTTTTGAAAGTTTGGTGACACTTCGTGTCTTTGTGGTTATTTTTATTGTCAACCGCGTACTAGCTTTTCCTGCTCCCCCTTTTTCTTGTTGTAATAATTGTTCCATCTCCCTCTCCCACTCCTTTTTCTCCTTATTGTTTTCTTCCTTCTTATTCCTCTTGAGACCCTTCTTCTCCGTTCCCTCCTTTTCTCTTGTTTTTCATTTCACCTCTCCCTTCTCCTTCAACTTCTTCCTTTTCATTCCCCCTCCTCCTTCTCCATATTGCTCTCATTCTGTTCAATTCCTCAGATCCTTCCTCCTCCTCCTCCTCTCTCTCTCTCTCTCTCTCTCTCTCTCTCTCTCTCTCTCTCTCTCTCTTGGATAATTTCATCACTTTTCTCCTTTTCCTCAGGCTGTAAGTCTTTGATCTCTTCGTCATCACTAACGTCTGACTGTATTCCTCCCAGCCCCTCTTCTCTCACTCATGATAACATGTTCCACCGTGCTCAATGCTATGTCAGGCTCAACCCGGATGAGAGGGATACAACATCCAAGCAGAACGACTGACATCAATCAATCAATCAATCAATGCCTTTCACCCCAGGCAGGGTATTGGCCACACACAAGCTCTTTCCATTTATCTCTGTCCTGGGCCATCCTCATTAGCTCGTTCCAAGTGAGCTTCATCTCTCTCATTTCATATTAATTTGTCCAAAATTCTTCCCACACGTGAATCGAACCCAGGCATTCTGCGTGCGGCAGCAAAGCACGCGATCGCTACACTCCTGACCTCACCGTCATCGAAACTGCCCTGGGGATAGACTATCTCGTCATGAATCACTTCTCTAAACAAAAAGGGCACTGAGGTCAGGACTTTCTACACAGTGTAATGTTCCTCTTCTTCAGGGTCCTCAAGTGCTACTCTCTACTACCACTCCACTTTCCGAACCCCGTCTACGCCCCCCTCCACCCTTCCCTCCTTCTCCCCGTACGCCCCACCTCACCCCTCCATCCTCCTCCCCCTCTTTCCTTTTCTCCCAGCCCCACCCCTCCTTCCTTCTCCCTCACTGTTCCCTCCTTTTCTCCTTCCCCATTTGTCACGAAAGCACCAAAAGACACCAGTTCCATTTCCTCTCGTCAAGGAACCAAGAAGTGATCACCCCTCCCCCTTCCCTTAAACCGTGAGATTTTGATGAGTGGAGGGATGGGTGCACACGTGACAAGATTTACACAAAGGTACCTAGAGTTACTCCCCCTTTTTACTTTAGGGATTCCGATTCGGCGGTGGAGGAGGTATGGCAAAAAGGTTTTCCTGTTCTCTCTTGATCAACATAATTTGTCTCTACATTTCTGTCTGTCTGTTTGTCTGTCTGTCTGTCTGTCTGTCTGTCTCTGTCTCTGCCTGTTTCTCTCTCTCTCTCTCTCTCTCTCTCTCTCTCTC